CAAAATCAGATGAAAGGTTACTGAGAGTCAGAAGTGACTTGATAGCAGTGAGTGTGAGACTTTGAGTTCTTTGACTTTGAAACTGATCAAACATGCAATCAAGACAGAGTGAGAATTCCTAGTGATTGCAACACAGTAGATAGAAACAAAATACTTAATGTGATAGTCTTTACTACTAGGCTGTGCCTGTGTCTGTAGGTACGTATATTATTAAAATAAAATTTTAGAGAGCACTGGTGGCTTAGTGGCAGGAAGCTGCACTGCTATCCCGAAGGTACATGGTTTGAAGCCACCAGCTGCTTCGTGGAAGAAGGATGGAAAATCTCCTGTGTGATTAACTGCTTCTGAAAATCCACCAGAGGGTCAGCTATGGGTCAATTCCGACTCAGTGGTACACAAAAACACTAACAACAACAAATGAAAGTTTTATTTTTATACTTTTATCCACATTTAGTATAGTCTCACCTATACTAAGCTCTGAACAATTTATCAAAATTTATTTTTTGGTGCATTCATGATGCCATTTTTCATTGGAGTCTCCTGCTTGAATAAGTCCCAGAAATAAAGGAACTTAGTAGCTAAAATGAGAACTATATGTTTGCTCTTGCATTTAAAGTTAAGACTTAAATGTATTGGCTTTAGTAAATGTTGATGAGTAGGCAGAAGGGTGATTTCCTGGAAAATATAATTAAAAGGGATGTTGTTGTTATGAGTCATTGAGTTGGAACTGACTCATAGCTGACCCTTCTGTCGGTTTTCTGAGGTGATAAATTTCATAGAAGGAGATTGCCCACCTTTCTCTTGCATAGCAGCTGATGGTTCACATTGCTTGTACTTGGGATGGCAGAGCAATTCTTTACACATTAGGCCTCCAGTGCTCCCTGTTAAAAGAAATGGCATATAGAAATGGTAAAGAACAGGAAAATGAAACTTAAAAAAATGATTAATTTGGGAGAAGGATGCTATAATAGATGATTCACTTATCAGGATGTCTCAGCAGCAGCATTCAATATTAAAAAAAAAGATTGAATAATTTCTACCATATTCTTGAGGAAGATGGCGTTTTCTTTGTTTCTTGTGCTTAGTATTTTTTGGGTGTCTTATATCTGTATAGTTTTCACCAAAATTAGAAAATAATGTACAGTTTTTTTATGTCCTTTTCCCTTTGAAGAACTCATTTACTAATACTTTTCCCTATAAGTAAAACACCTACAAAACTTTATTCACCTTGTTTGTTTTATTAAGTAGTTTCTGTTGCTATGCGTACATTTGAGTACACTAATCTTTTCTATGATCTGTAAAGTACTTTTAATACCAATTACTGTATTTTTCAGCTCAGACTCAATAATTGTCATAGCTGAAAAATTAATTTTGCTGATTACTTATGTCTTTGATCTTCATACATTTTGAATATGAGTAGGTCCTGGCTTACAATGGTGTTTCATTCTTGTAATGCCCTCATAAGTAATTTCTGATTAAAGTTGAATAACCCACTTTCCTGACTATGATTGCCTCTTATATTCAGTATCTTTATTGTGAGGATGGTATAGAATTGAGTAGAGTTTTGTTGTATTACACACAGGGTAACAATGCCTCCAAGCCACCTAACAAGTTAGAACATTGAATGCTGACAAACATCTGAGAATGATAAATTCAGGAATTAAGTGCTTTAACAATGTCTGTAATACATTTTACTAGTTATAAAATGTAAAACAAAAATAATCCCAATCAGAGGGTTCTTAGGAGAGCCCTTATTATGGGAATACTATGTAAATCAGAGACTACTTATATTTTAATTTTCTGGCTACTGGTGCCAAGAGTGTTGACTGTGGAGAAAAGCAAACTAAAGCTGTGAACAATCTCAATCTCTTCACCATCCATCCTGATGCTGCCAATTGGCCTAGTGGTGAGAATCTTTGTCTTCTTGACATTGAGCCTCAATCCATATTGGAGGCTACGTTTAAGTTTAAGTCATGTAACTTGTGCAGCATTTCTTAAGCTCAAGGAACTGAAGAACAAATTCAAACCTCGAGTTGCTGTAATCAAGGATGCTTTCGGTAGAATATTAAATGATCCAGGAAGTATTAAAAGAAGATGGAAAGAATATACTGAGTCACTGCATCAAAAGGAATTGGCAGACACAGAAGAATTTCATGAAACAACATATGAGCAAGAGCCTATGGTGATGAAAGAAGACGTTCAAGCTGCTTTGAAAGAAATAGCAAAAAACAAGGCCCCAGGAATAGATGGTATACAGTTGACATATTTTAGCTAACAGATGCTGCCATGGACGTGCTCACCAAGTTGTGCCAAGAAATCTGTAGAACAACCACTTGGCCAGCTGACTGGAAGAGATCTATCTATATTTGTTCCCATCCCAAAGAAGGGTGACCCAACAGAGTGTGGAAACTATATAACAATCTCATTGATTTCACATGCAAGCAAGATTCTACTGAAGATTATCCAAAAATGACTGGAATAGCACATCAGCAGAGAACTGCCAGAAGCCCAGCCTGGGTTTAGAAGGGGTTGTGGTACTAGGGATATTGTAGCTGATGTTAGATGGATCTTGGCTGAAAGCAGGGAATACCAGAGGAATGTCTATCTGTGTTTCATTGACTATGCAAAAGTGATTGACTGTGTGGACCATAACAAACTGTGGCTGACTCTGAGAAGAATGGGAATCCCAGAACACCGGATCTGATCGTGTGCTTATGCGAAACCTATACTTGGACCAGGAGGCAGTCGTCAGAACAGAGCAAGGAACATTGCATGGTTCAAAATTGGGAAGAGCATACACTAGGGATGTGTCCTATCTCCTTACCTTTTCAACCTGTATGCAAAACAGATTATCCGGGAGGCTGGGCTCTGTGAGGAGAAATGTGGGGTCAGGATTGGTGGAAGATTTATCAACAGTCTGTGTGATGCAGATGACACAACCCCGCTTGCTGAAACTGAGGAGGACTTGATGCACTTGCTGCAGAGGGTCAAGGACTGCAGCCTCCAATATGGATTTAAAAATAATATATTTGCTCATTTACTTAATGATTTGGGAAACACATTCTGTGAAGTCTATGTCTGAACCTGGAAATCAACTTTTAACAATGCATTGTTGAAAAGAATGATTAATTGAAATTATTTGTACCACTTTGATAGCTTGCAAAATACTTAATAGTGTCTAAATAAAAATAATCATATGTTATAAACCAGTTTAAGGTAAAGGAAGTGATTTAATATATGTCGTTTGAATTGGTTTAGAGATAACCTTAAATGCCTATAAGGTAAACACATATTCAGGAAAGGAATTAAGTGATAATAGTTCCTTAAAACAACAAAATATATTGCCCTTAATTCATTTGTTGTTTGGTCTCTTTGGTGGTTTTGTGTGAATTTCTTGTCATAAAATTATATTTTTAAATGTTTCTTATGAAGAAATTGATTTTTTATATCAAAACTTATTTTCAAGCACTGAAGAATGATGAGGAATTTGTGAAGCACTACATAGTGTCAATGAGTCTCGAGGACATTATGCTGAATGAAATAACTCAGTCTCCAAAGGGGGGAAAAATGTGCTCATTATTGTTAAAAGCTAGAGAAAAGTTTAGTCACTGAAGGAAATTTTCTTGGATGGTTACTGGAAATAAGAGAGGAGAAGACACACATACTAAGATTAGTTAAGGGGAAGGCAATAAAACAAACCATAGTGAAGAACCATTTGTTTTTAAGTCAAAAAGGTTATAAAATACGGCATATATATGTGTGTGTGTGTGTGTGTATACATATATAATGTATATTTATGTACATATTATATAATATATTTTAGCTTCCATCCTTTGTTGTTCTTTATATCTTTCCTGCTCAAATAGAGACTATGTGAATCACATAGCAGTGAATTCTGTAATATAGTGAACATTTTGTATCTGTAGATTTTGTGATGAAAGGAACTACCATATGGCAAAATTTAATAAAATGATTAAAATATTAGAAAAAGGATAGCTATCAGTTTTAAAATTTAAAATGTATAGACTCTGCTCTAATTGTAATAATTCAAGCATAAAATGTATCATAATGCATATAAAACAATGAAGTGAGAACATGTTTTAATTTTGGTATAGAATGGAATTCAGGATAAAGACTTTTTAAATTTATTATTATTAATTTTAGTGAACATTTACAGAGTGTGGATTTCCATTCATTCATTGTTGCACTTTTCTCCCCGCTCCCCCTCCCCCGTTTGCTCTTCTGTAAAAGCAAAAAAAAACCTCCTTCATTGGTATACAATCCCCCCGCATCCTCCCACCCTCACCCCGAGTATACTCCACTCTGCAATCCTCATTCCGAACTCTTATGATACTCATAGTGTCCTAAAATATATTACTTTTAAACTGTTCTCTCCGTCATAGGCTTAAATGCAGTATACATAATTTATCCAGTTTTTCTCAGACTTGCCCCCACCCTGATGTCAGCCTCATTGTAAAACAGTGGCATCATGCAGTATTTGTCCTTTTGTGACCGAGATATTTCACGCAACATAATGTCTTTCAGGGTCACCCATTTTGATAATATTGCACGAGTTCCTTGTTTTTCCATGCAGTGTAGTATTCCATTGTGTGAATATACCACAGCTTCTGTATCCATTTTTTTGTTGATGGGCACTTAGGTTGTTTCCAACTCCTTGCTATTGTGAACAAAGCTGTGATAAACATGGATGTGCATATATCTGCTTGGATGTTGGTTATGGTCTCTTTAGGGTATATTCCCAGTAGTGGAATTACTGGGTTGGGTCAAAGAGTATTCCTATTTGCAGATAGAGACTTTTGACTGCTGGCATTCTTTTGATTTGATCCAGATCCTGATGGCTTTACTTTGTGAAATTTCCTTAAATTGTATATTTATCATTTATAAATTCCCCCCATATATGTTGTATATAATTAAAGATTAAAGAAATTACTCTTAATGCATGAACAAACTTACCTTCTTTTCTCCTTTTCTCTTTAAAGGAAATGATTATTGACAAAGTAAATGGGCAGGCTGTTCCTAGATACTTGATATACGACATAATTAAATTCAATGTAAGTACCTTTTGTAAATTATTACATTCCTTTAGTTTAAATTATTCTTACAAAATTAATATAGCTGGAATTGAAAATATAGAAACCTATGATTACTGTATTGATAAACCTAAAAAGCAGCGATGGAGAACCTAGATTTATTCTTAAATCTGTTTCATAAATCATTCTCTAATTTTAAAATTTCTAGTAGTATGTATTTTATTGTTTTGCCTTATCATAAGCTTGTATGAGCTGTTTCCCCAAAAACTTAATATCTATGATTTCATCTTATGTAAAGTGGAAGTAAAAATATCTGTATGTTTTCTGGAATGTTGTAGAGTTAATGTTATTTACAAATGTTATTTACAAGATTGTTTGTAAAATAGATTTTATTATAAGAGCTCCTTTTTTTAAAAAAACAATACTTTATTGTTTTTTTGCATGTGTGTGTACCTTCAAATTGGTTCTGACTGGTATACGAAGAAGGAGATTGCCTCTCCTCCAGCAGAGCATCTGGTGGATTTGAACCATGTACCTCTGGGATTGCAGTGCAGCTTCTTGCCACTAGGCCACCAGAGCTCCCTAAAATAAAGAGATATTTTTAACAGATACAAAGGGTTTATTGCTGTGCTAGAGAAAGTAAAGTTGGAAAGAACAATTGTGACTTTCTCCATTTACTCAGCTGATAGCTTCATGTTAAACTAGTGAAAAATCAAGTTCTCATAGAATCAGTTCTAACTCATATTGCTGATTGTTGCAAACCTTTAATGTACTTGACTTGTAACCAAAAGGCCACAAGTTTGAGTTCATCCATATGTGTGTGGTTTTGTTTTTGTGTGTGTGTATGTGTGATAGAGAGCGAGAGAGAGAAACAAACACCTGATAATTTACTTCTGATAAAAATTCAGCAGTTTGAAAACACTGTGGAGAATAGTTCAACTCTTAAAACATGAGGTTGTCATTAGAAATATTTTAAAAGTCACCTTTTCTTTTCTTTTTATTGCCCAATATATTTTTCTTTGATTTTAAATTTTACACATTTAGTTAAATAAATAAAATAGCGTAACTTTGATTATAAAAAGAAACCCTGCAGCCCAGCATTTTGTAAAACTTTTTATTTTATTTATTCTGTATTAGATTTAAATAAACACTCCCCCAATTATGTTAGCCTGTCATTTAAAAGAAAGATAAATTGATTGTAAAGTGTTGAATGTCTAATTGATAGTAGAAATAGAAATATTAAAAAGAAACATAAAATAAAAATTCAAAACTATTTTGTAAGTAGGTATCAAAAAGTAGAATTTATATTTAGTACCCTTTTCCTATTACTTTATGAATTTGTTTGCCTATTCATGTTTAGTTGTAGCATGACTGTCTAAATTATTTAAGCAGAATAAGATGGCTGTTTATAGAAGTTCTTTCAATAATATACTAGTAAATATATTGCTAAAATGCTTAGCAAATATCCAGGATTTACTTCATTTAGAGGCTACGTAAAGACTTCACTCCCAACCCCCGAAGACTTTAATGTACATAATCTAACTTTTTAGATGGAATTTCTGTATTTGGAACATAGAACTTCTAACTTAAAAATCTTGAGAGAAAAAAGAATTCTGTATTTATTCTGATTGTGAGTACCATGTTCCTCAAAAAATATTGCTTCTCAGAATTGATACAATCTTATTACAGATCTTACGTTAATGTTCATTGATTCATAAAGAAAAATAAAGGGCTAGGGTGGCTTTGTTTCCTTGTGAAAGGAAGGGTGCTGTCTCCTGTGCCTTTTGATATCCAGCTCCTGCTTTAATCAGTGAATATAAAAAATAGTCATGTACTGACCCCCCAGATTTGTCAGATCTTAACATTTTTGCTCCATTTAAAGAGATAATTACAGATTCATTATTGTTTTGTTTAATTCAGGCACAGCCAGTTGGAGATTGTGATTTTAATACTCGTCTTCAGTGTATAGAAAGAGAAATAATAAGTCCTCGTCATGAAAAAATGAAGACTGGTCTCATTGACAAAACACAAGAACCGTTTAGTGTCAGAAATAAGCCCTTTTTTGACATCTATACTTCAAGAAAGGTGAAGTTCATAATTTTGCTTTCTAATTAGTGCTTACAGTATACCATAGCATTGCTTATCATACATTTGAATATCTTACTGCCCAGTTGTCTTAATTATACTTGATTTAATAGGAGTTTTAAATGTTGGAAACTTTTAACTGCTTCCTTAGTTCTCAGGTAGTTTTTGATGCATGGCCTTTGGAGTATATTACGATTTTTAAAAAGCCTATGTACCATCAAGTCAGAACTGACTCATACCAGATTCTTTAGCAGGTTTTCAGAGGCAGTTAATTGCCCAGGGGTGGGGGAAATTGCCTATCTTTCTCCTGTGGAGTAGTTGGTGGATTTGAACTGTATAGTTTTGGGATGTCAACTCCTGTAGTTTTGGGATGTCAACTCCTTACCACTCAGCCAGTTGATTATGGAATGTGAAAATGACCTTTCTGAAGGAAATCAGTATTTGATATATATATTCTTTTTTATTAAAAAGAGTCATTTACAGGTACATGTTATACATAGCATGCACTTTAAAAGATTTCTTTTTATTGTTTTGATATTTAAAATTAGATAATCATACTCAATGTCTTGAACTATTTCTTCCCCAGCAAAAGTACAATTTTGAGGTTCCATATCATTGCTCATTTTAAAATTAATCGCATAGCACTTGAAAATATTATACTTTAGTAGTCAGAACAGAGCAGGGTAACACTGCATGGTTCAAAATTGGGAAGGGTGTACGCCAGGGATGCATCCTGTCTCCAGACCTTTTCAACATGTATGCAGAGCAGATTATCCGAGAGGCTGGGCTCTATGAGGAGAATTGTGGCATCAGGATTGGTGGAAGATCTATTAACA